CCTAGAGTTAAAGTTGTGAGTGAGCAATTTGGCTACTGCATAAATTTGTGTGAGCTGGAGGCTAAAAACCTGTGAGCTAGCTCACACTAACTCAGTTTAGAGGGAACACTAGTGCTTTCCATTTCTATCCAATCTCTTCTTCTTCTACACAAGCTACACAAGAGAGCCAGTTTGGTGTAGTGGTTAAGTGTGCGGACTAATCTGGAAGAACCGGGTTTGATTCCCCACTTCCCCACTTGCACCTGCTGATGTGACCTTGGGTCAGTCACAAGCTCTGGCACAGCTGTCCTTGAAAAAGAGCAGAGCCCCGAGATGGGCTGGTCGGACTGGGATTATGGTGCATCTGTCAAGGCAACTGGGGAAGGACATGTCTGCAATTGACCTTGCCCAGGTTTCTCAACTTAATTCATCCGATCAGATGCAAAAGGTTCTACTCACTTTTGATTCCCCAAGAATCCCTGCCCTAATACAGAGGAAGAAAAACAGATTCAATACCTGGGGAATATACTCTGTGAGAGTTTTTGAGAACTTGGTGGTAAGGCCCTTGGGGACAAAATGTAAGAGCCTGAAAATGCCACACCAGGGTCCCATGGTGGAGGGGTTGATAGAGACAACAATTCCTCAAAGAGACTCTGTAACTCAGGAGGTACCTCAGTCCCCTATGGAACACTTGTCCTCGCAACAGGAGATAAAGGGAAGTGATTGCAACTCAGAACAAATGGAAGAACAGCCAATTGAATGTCACCTATCAAATTTTGCTGAAGAGGACTTTTTGGACTCAATTGGGGACCTGTCACTAAGTGAACAACTGAAAGTGTATGAAAGATTGACTGCAACAGTAGGGAAACTGAGGAACCTTATTGGGGAAGGAGAATTGGGGGCGGGAACAACTAGGCAGGCTGAGTTTGTGGGCCATGAAGGAGCCACTCCCCAAGGCTTCAATGTAAAATGAAAGACCCGCTGCACGAGGGCGGGCAGACAGGCTTGATGTGAAATTGAAAAAAACGCTACGGAGCAGGAAACTCCAGGGGAAACCAGGTGCAAGTGCCTCGTGAGAAATCGCCCTCAGTCTAACCCAACAATTGGTAATGGATGTGCATTTGTAGACATGGTAGGGGAACTGGATCGGATTAGTACTGATCCATGACGTTTAAGGCTCCTTTCATGGAATATGGGGTGGTGGCGGTGGAATAAACAACGAGATCCAGACTTTAAAAGTTTTTTGGGCCACTCTGAGATTATACTGCTTCAAGAGACCTGGGCCCAGGCCCCAACCACCCCTAGCCTGGAAGGCTATTGAGTGTATAATGCCTTTGTCACCAAGTTCCATAATAAAAGGAGGGGCTGTGGGGGGCTTGTAACAGCAATTAAGAGAGCTCTACAGATGGAGGTGGAGCTTATTCCTCATTATTGTGAGAATTTTGGGCTGGCTCTTTTGGTCAGAGGTCCACCGTGGGGAAGCCTTTTATGTATAAATGTCTACCTGCTCCCTAATGGTTTAAGTGGGATTAGTAATGAGATGTTTTGGGAAAAACTACTTGAATTATTAGAAAGATTAGCGACCCAGCATCCAAATGCCCACCTTATTTTGGGAGGCGATTTTAATGCCAGGATAGGGTCTTTGGCCAGTGAATTTGAGGATGTGGGGGGGGGGCTAATGAGAACCTCCTTGGTGGTGGACATATCCTCCAGGATCCGAGCTGGTAGAAGATTCCTGGAGCTTCTCTCAAAGCTAAACCTGTGTGTATTGAATGGTACTGGATGGGATATTTCAAAGGGGACTTATACATATATTTCTATGCGGGGTGCAAGTACGATAGACTTTGTAGCTGTCTCATGGGATCTTTTAGAACAAATCCACTCTTTTGAGGTGACAGATGCACTACATAGTGACCATAATCCACTGCATGTAGTATTAAGTTGCTCGGAAGAAACAATTCGGGCACTCGATAAACCCAAAGGAGATGACTTAGTACATAGGAGGCCTAAATGGTCGACTAATGTTCAGAAATTAGTTCATGAGGTTCTTTCTCTTTAAAGAATTTATTTATACTTTTTCCAACAAACAAACAAACAAACAAAAAATAAAAATCCAAGTACATTCCCATTGTACAAATCAGTTTCGGAGTGTTCATTCTACATTTTTTTCAAACCATTTATACACTTTAAACCATCTTTTCTTATAAGCGTTATCATCTCTCTCTGCTAATATCATATTTAATCTGTCCATTTCTGCTATTTCGAATATTTTTTCCATTATTTCTTCTTTTTTAGGTAGTAAATCTGATTTCCATTTTTTCGCTATCAGAATTCTGCTTAACGTGAGGATATATAACACAATACATTTATCATCTGTATTTACTATATCTGGCAAGATATTAAGCAAGTAACTTTCCGGTTTAAGCTGCAGATCTATTCCTACAATTTCTTTTATCAAATATTTTACCATTTTCCAAAATTTTACTATTTTGTCACACCTCCACCAGATATGATAGTATGTTCCTACGTTATTATTACATCTCCAGCATGTATCCGAGACATTTTTATAACATTTTGTTATTTTATCCGGTGACCAGTGCCACCTGTAAAACATTTTTAGGATATTCTCTTTGTATGGTGTAGCTCTTACTAATTTCTTCTTGATGAGCTATGGGATGAACATCTCACAGGTCACGAGTAAGTACCTATCTGTTTGTTGCCTTGATTTTAATGGTGGTCACTGAAGACAAGCAAGATTCACAGCAAGGTGGCAAATGGGATGAGAACTTTAACAGCTTTGCTAGAGAGAACTGAATATTTACCTCCAGCTTTTCATCAAAAGCTTAGAATCCTGAAAGTCTGTTTTCAACATATTTTATTCCACAAATGAAAGAACTCTACTTTGACTTCTTCCTTCACTGAAAATAATATATCACAAATGATGCATTCATCTCATAATGGGATCTACTGATGGATTGTGTCATGTAAAGCAACTAAGGTTGGGAGAGAAGGCTTACTCACCGAGGACATCCAAGTGCTGAAAGGGGTGAAACAGGGTTGCGTGTTAGCCCCCACTTTGTTCAACTTGTATTTAAATGACATAATAGCTAGTTTAGAAGGTAGTGAATATATGGCCCCAGCCATTGGACAACATAAGGTTCCAATCCTTCTGTATGCAGATGATATGGTCCTTCTGTCCTTAACCAAAATTGGTTTGAGGAGATGGCTGAATAAATTCGGTGAGTACTGTAGTGCGGAAGGCTGGCAAATAAATTATGCCAAGTCAAAAGTCTTGGTTTTTAGGAAACGGCCAAAGAAATCTACCTGGAGCATTCTTGGCACCCAGATTGAGCAATGCAGCACGTATAAATATCTGAGTTTAACCTTCTCTGAAACTCTCTCCTGGCATCCCCACCTTAAAAGCTGCTACTATGAAGAATTTGGGGGCTCTACTGAAGTTCTACTTTTCTAAGGGAGGAGGCATGGTAGACCCAGTTGTATCGGAGCAAGATAATTCCAGCCATGCTATATGGATCAGAGATCTGGAACTGGGGAGATCAGATATTGTCCTCATTAGAAATAGTACAGAATAATTTTATGAGGCGGATTCTCGCCTTGCCAAGGGGTGCGCCAGTGGCATTAATGAGGGCTGAACTGGGAATTAGTTGAATGCCAGAGTCAATGTCAGAATTCTATCCTACTGGAGAAAATGTTTAGAACGACCCCAGGATTTCCTGGGGGGGGTGTTAAGTTTTAGTTTGCACCTGAAAGCCTCCAAGAGATTAGGTGACCAGTTGGCCTCAATTCAATTGAAATGTTCAATTCCTGATGATCTATTAAGGAATAAAACCCAAGCACGGGAACTGAAGGAATGGGTGTTCAAAAAGGATGGGCCTATGGATCAGGGTGTGATGGCACGTTGTCTTAGGGCACCATTATTCAAGTTTTTTTAAAAGGGATCACTGTAGGTCCCTGTATTTAGAGAAGTTAACCATCCTGGAATTAAGATCGGCTTTTACAGCTTTGAGATTTCAATCCATGCCCTCAATGACCAGGACTGGACGTTTCTTTGATATCCCTGCCCCCCCTAGACTTTGTCTTTGTGATATGGGGGAAGTTGATGATATTGTACATTATATTCTGAGATGCCCGTGGCATGAAGCCCTTAGGCTAAAGTACATCACCCCTATTATTCTGCAGGGTAATGGACTCTGATCTGAATCTGGTCAAATTTTCTCTCAGACCTTGACCAGGATGTCTCAGAATGAGTTTAGTATTTAAGCAAAGTAGAAGGAGTATAGGATTATACTGATATTTTTCTATTGTCCACATTACCATTTTATGACCTGATGTATTATGTTATGGCCTATGGCTAAGACAATAAACTTATACTGGACTAGACAAAGTGACATTTATGTCAGATCCGGCCCTCAAAACAAATGAGTTTGACGCCTCTAGGACCTAAGAGTAAGGCGTGAGGGAGGAGCGCTTCTACCGGTACTTGATTGGTAGGTAGGGTAAGAATAACAGACAGTGTAATTATGGAAAGTAGAGTGAGACGTGATGAGCAAATTCAATGGCAGTACAGAAACCGTATAAAGGTACAGGTTAATTATCGCCTGTAAAGAGTGGGTCTTACTGACGATTGGTAGGTAGGGTAAGAATAACAGACAGTGTAATTATGGAAAGTAGAGTGAGACGTGATGAGCAAATTCAATGGCAGTACAGAAACCGTATAAAGGTACAGGTTAATTATCGCCTGTAAAGAGTGGGTCTTACTGAGACACCAAGCATCTATAGCGACGGAAGCCCTTATTCGGGGGCGGGGGGAGAGGAATGTCGTGTCAAACAACGCCAGGAGGACTTTTAACACCCAAGCTTCCTCGGCCGGCCGTTTTGTTGCCTTGCGGACGGAGCCAGCACAGCCTCAGCTAAAGGGCGGTGGTGTGAGGAAGGAGTCCGGGATTCGGCTTCTTATGGAATCTTAATCGCCACTTGGTTCGTTTCGGCGAGCGCTTCGTGGCTCACGTGACGGCCGGGGAGGCGAGGCGGGCCGGCGAAAGGAAGAGGCGAGGAGGCAAGATGGCTGCCGCTCTCGGCTGCAAGGCGCCGTGAGAGAGAGAGCAAAGCTCTCTTAGTGCCACGCCCGCACCCACTTTCTTCCCCGCCACGACGTCGCCTTTTCTCTCTCTCTCTTTTGTCTGGTAGGGGCTCTCCCACCGGTAAGGATGGGGATGGCAAGTAAGGGTGGCGGTCTGAGGAGGTTTGCGAAGAGGGCGGTGGTCGTGTGGGTTAAGCTGTCAGACAAAAGGGGTGGAGGGGCTTGCAGCCTCGGGGAGAAAGCGTAGTTAATCTTTTTTGGGGGGGTAGGGGAGGGCGCGGACTCTGCTGTCCGGTAGATAAACGGGTAAGTGCTTGGTTTTCTTTGTTAAGGGCTTAACGGTGGAAGACTGTTTTTCCTCTATTCTCTCTCAGTGATGTAATTTCCGAACATGAGAATGGTTTGGGTGCTTGTTTGCAGGGTAGGTTGAAATGTTTATTGGTTGTTGATATGGTCATTTCTCCCTTCAGGAAGAACAAAACGGAGCGTGTGGTGGGGTCTTTAATGGGTGTTGAATTTTCTACGCTAGGATAGGAGTTAAACAGGATGTCTGGTCCACTTTAAAGGCTAGCAGCCTCTTATTCTGGCTGCATAAGCTTCTGTGGGTTTCAGCCTGCTTTGTCAGATACAGTGAAGAAAACGTATCTAGGCATTGTAATCTTGATTGGGTTGTTCAGACTTAAGCACAATGTGCAAGGCACATCTTGCCCCTGGGAAACTGCTCCCAAAATGTGTCTGGAAGCAGAGAATCCTTCAGGAGCCATTCCAGTCTTCTGTGCCAAAAGCATTGAGATCAGGTGTTTTGGGCTGTCAACAATATAGAAGTTCTACAGTAGAACCCCATGCTTAGTAGGTTTGCAGTACAAGTAATATAAATGGAACAAAAGTGATTGAAAACAGTTGGAAACCTGCAAACCTTTGGGGTTCAATAGAATTACTATTTTAAGTAATTTGGTGTTTCTAACATTTTATGTTAAAAAACAAACAAACCTCCCAGCATGAAAAAATGAAATTCACACATCACTTGCAATTGAAGAACAATGGATATTGCAAGTTTTAGCTGTAGTAGTAGCCAGCTTCCGTTAAGCATGTGGTGTCTGGAAACTGTTTTCACTCAATCTTGCCCGTTCCCCTTCTTACCACAAACCCTCCCCCTCCTGCATGTTTTTTGTGTATGCAGGTCCATGGCATAGCCTCTTTGTGGTCCACATGGAAACCCTGTTCTCCCTTTTTCACCAGTAGAAACTCTGGTTGGAGTCAACCCTATGCATTGCATTATCTTAAGTATTTAGGAGACTTGTCTACAGAAGCTTTAAAGTTTGTATATGTTTATATGAGAAGAGAGACTTTGGAGAACAGTTGCTAATAGTTGGAGCAGAAGATAGTGAGTTAGATGAACCAGACTTGGTAGTCCTGATACTGATACTTAAATGTGGAGAAATTAACAGGTATAGGGGAATGGATTCCCTCCCCTGCAACCTGCCTGAACATAATCAGACATTGAATGAAGAGGCCTTTGTGTGTATACATTTTGTGTGAATTATGCAACTCCTCAAGATCCTATCAGTGCTTGGAGTTCTTGGACAGGGATGGTAAGGTCAACCCTGTTTCCCCTCCACACAGCATTGTATGTTTTGTCTGCACAAGACTACTAAACCACCTTGTCTTATCTCAGTGGATAATCAGTCTTTATAGGTACTTTCCTAGCATATTTCTTTGCATTTGTCTAAAGAAAGAATGTAGAGTAATTCGTGGCTGTGCCTAAGCGGCGTTTTGGAAGAAGAAACACCAAAGACCTACAGGAAAGGCCTTCGAACTCATCTCCCCTGTTTTTCCGTACTGTATTCAACAAAAGAATTCTAGTGAGTGATGAAAGTTGGCTGGACTCCTTATGTACAGTATCATTAGGATACAGGGAAAACTAATAGTGAATTTTGTGTTGGTTAAAGTAGGGCAGTGAAAAGAGATCTGCCATGGCATCATACATTTTGGAGACTGAGAAGGAGGAATTCCACCATTTCCATGTAGATATTTGGAGTGGGCTTTCTAGTCAGACTGAATATTGGGGAACACTTCCTAAGAGAGGCTACTCTAGAGTCAGACCAATACTGTAAATGTTGTACAGATACTTTGCCTGTTTTCAGGAGTTACTGTTTTAAGGCTGTAGTGCTGAGTGTGCATTCATTGGAAGTAAGTTCTGTAAAGTCCACTTGCTGCTCAGTGTACCTTGTTTCTTTATTGAATTTTCCTCTTATCAGTCAAGGATGCAATCAGAACAGCTGGGATCATGCTGCAGGAAAGCAAGTGGAAAGGAGAAGACTTTTAGGAAGGGTAAAGCAGGGAAGGGCGACTCTGAGGTTCTTTTGCCCTGGTGTGTTGAAATGCTATCCATATGCAGCAGCTCTTCTGAAGCAGTCGTGCTCACTTCCTAGCTCACAGACAGCCACATTAACACCTAACACACCTAAGGTTGCAGTTTTAGGCAAACTTACTGGGCAAAACGTTGTATAGGACTGTCCTTCTGATAAAGATGTATGGCTTGAAGCACAGGCGGGCTTTGCATGTGCTTTTGGTGTTGTATACAAATGGTGCTGATTTGGAAGAAAACTGGGAAGAAAGAGAAATAAGTGGTGCAACCAACACAGGTTCTGAATTCATAAGGGATGACTTAAAATATAGCAAAATGTAAGCCTTCATTGTGAAAAGTTACCTAATGCTGCTGAAGGCAGCCATAAGTTAATGGAAATTCAGCACTCTGTGGGTTGATGATGCTTTGGCTTATGAATAAGACTGCATCATCAGAAAAACTGGAAAATCATGAGGTTTTTGTGTTGGACAAAAGCAGAAGTCTTAACTGTAGCACTTAAACCTGAAGTGCACACAATGGCCTGCAATCTAGCCGGCTGTTAATATGCACACATTGAGCTGCATATGTACAGTTCCATTTTTAAGGTCTACCAACCGTTTTTCAGTTGCACTCATAGGGAATGACATGATGTGAAAACTGCTGATAGAAATATCCAGTCCGCATGCTACTGAGACTTGAGAACAGATGGACCTGGATGGCAAATAAGAAGGCATTGAGATGTGGTGGCTGTCTCTGCCCTTGAACTAACTCTTTATTCAAATGTATTATCACTACAGAAACTTTGGCATATAACTCTTGTGAAACATCACTGTGTCTGTAGACTTTGGTGTACCAATTGCTAGTGTGACATTCTGCTACCCCATCCCTATTAGAACTTTTCTTAGCATCTCTGCATTCAGTGCAGAGAGGATTTTTATGTTGGCTGAGTCTTTTGTATCCTTAGCTAGCCACTTCCTGACTCGTAACTGGGTGGATTTTGTAACTTGTGTTGTAACTTTGCCTTTAGGATGGCAGTGCAGAGCTTTGTGTGATGGCATCAGGGGACTCTTGTGGAGAAGCATGAGTAATGAGGTTGTAGCGGCAGGGCAGACCTACCAGGATCCAGGCACAAATGTTGTTAAAACTACAGGTTGGATCAGAAGAGCTTGCAGTCAAAGTAGAAGGGTTTTAAGTCCTTGCATCTGTAGAAATGCTTGTCAGGATCTAAACCATGTGTAGGATATTTTTGGTCTGTTTTGCATGTTTTTTTAAAAAAAAAATCTTTGATTTTGTGTGTCTGTGAATTATAAAAATCATTATTCTATAATGGATGTATGGCACGTTATCACTGATTTATGTAACAGAGTGTTTTGTCAGTCATTTTTGTGTTTAAGTTACAGGCTTAATCAGCATTTCTCTTTTTCTTCATTCAGTGACATAATTGTGCAAATAATTCTTCATTTTTCTCTTGAAAAAACCATCCTTGGACCTGGCCAAATTGGTGAACTACCGGCCGGTCTCCAACTTGCCCTATTTGGGCAAGATAATAGAGAGGGCTGTGGCCATACAGCTACAGGGCTTCTTGGATGATGCTTCCATCTTAGACCCCTTCTAGTCCAGCTTTCACCCGCGTCATGGGACGGAGACGGCACTGGTCGCCCTCACGGATGACCTCCGGAGACATCTGGATTTGGGCACATCAGCAGTGCTGTTGTTGTTAGACCTGTTGGCAGCATTCGACATGGTTGACCATCAGCTACTGATCCACTGCCTCGCCGACATCGGGGTCCAGGGGATGGCCTTGCAGTAGCTTGTCTCCTTTCTCCAAGGTCGGGGACAAAGGGTGGCACTGTGGGGGATCAACTATCCCAGAGGCACCCGCTGGATTGTGGAGTGCCTCAAGGGGCATTGTTGTCTCCGATGGTTTTTAACATCTACATGAGCCCCCTTGCCCAGATTGCCCGGAGACCTGGGCTGGGATGTCACCAATATGCAGCTGACACCCAGCTATATCTGCTGTTGGGCAGTCAGTCCGACTCCAAACCGTTTCTCAAGAGACATGTGAGGTGGTCTGGTACTCCCATCTCTTTAAGGACCTGCCATCGTTTGTTGTGATCCACACAGTCAAAAGCTTTAGCATAGTCAATCATACAATCATATAAAAAACCCCAACAGTTAAAACAGATACAGATTTACAAAGTGCTGATAGCAATTAATAATTATCCAAGATGGCTCGCTTTCAGAATAGATGTCAACTTCCCAGATGTTGTTCTGCTTGTGATTTCCTGTGGTGTCGGCTCGATGTCAAGACCAAGAGTCAGGACTCTATAGCAGTGGCAACTCCCTAAGTAAACACCTGGTGGAAGAGCTCCGCCTTGCAGGCCCTGTGGAAACGTAACAGATCCCGCAGGGCCCTGATCTCTTCCGGGAGCTCGTTCCACCAAGATGGACACCTTTCAGAGAAAGCCCTGGCCCTGGTTGTCGACCTGGCCCTGGTTGTCGACAGCCTGGCCTCCTTAAGACTTGGGAGGGCCAGTGAGGACTAAGGGCCTGGAAACAGATGTGCAGGTGGAACAAATGATGGCATTTTACAGTAAAGTTCAAACTGGTTTGGAGGACATTCATGTTCAAAAAGCAGGGTATAAACTTAATTGAGAAAAGGTAACATCATGGAGGAGTAAGTGCAGTTTTTACACTCTGGGCATCTTCGTCCTACAGATGATTTAATTCACTGAGATTAAATGTGGAAAGATGATTTAAAAAAACCTCCAAAC